GAACCACAAAAATGACAAGCTTGTGGTTTGAAAAAAAAATCAAGTTTTTTACATCATTTGATAACTTGATTTCTGCATTAGTTATTACTGTGTAGCTGGAAGGCATACTGAACTGAGGAACAGTAACATCTATCAATCAGAGGCGATTAAATTAAAAAATCTTTTTTCCACAACCTGATAGCTAACTAAATTTTCGTTTGCTAAAATTCTCTACAGTTTTAACTTTTATATTTGTATTGTGTGTCTAGGTGTCCTAGCACACTAAAAACATGCTATGCAAATTAATTTAATCCACATTGCCATGCAGGTGGGTGCATGTACGCTTAAGGCACTTTTGATGGAATACTCAACCGCGCATGCACTACTGCCGTATTTACCAGTAGTATGCAAAAAAAGACTTGACTTCATCTTGCTTTCTCTGTGTATCTGAACTTATCTTTAAATTCCTCGTAACCTTCTCACTAATTACTTAAAGGGATTCTATAGTGCCAGGAAAACAAAGCCGTATAGGTTAAAACCCCTTCAGTCACTTACCTGAATCCAACGTCATGTCCATCAGTGCTGGGTCAGGCTCTGCCCATGCTCCTCCACCACCTACGTCAGCCGGCGGGGGAGGCATAAGACGCATGTGCGGCAATAGTTGATTGATTAATGCTTTCCTATGGGAATTCTGGTGTCGTCTAAGCACCCACAAGTCCCTCTAGTGGCTATGTAGTAGACAACCACTAGAGGAGGAGTTACCCTAGCAGGTTATTATTTCCGTTTCTCAGAATCTGCAAGAATTACCACTGTACAGTTAAGGAACATGGAACATTGCACCTAGATCACTTTAATGAGCTAAAGTGGCCTGGGTGCCTACACTGTCCCTTTACTTATTTTTAGTCCAAGTAGTATTTGCAATCATGGACCTTAACACTCTTGCCATCTATTTAAATTCTTCTCCATAACCTGTTGTCTGAAAGTCCATAATCTCCTTCAAAATGTAAAATGACGGGCCATCTGGATAAGCACATTGTGTAATAATTGTACTACAAATGCCATATTTATAATATCTCTGACAGAGTGCTCTATGCCTTTTGTGTTTGTTTTAAGGACAAACACACATTGGTGTGCCTGTAGCCCCTTATCTGTGCATATTTGCACATTTTTGGAAAGTGCCTTGGAAAAATTAGCCATAGTAAAACCATTAAATAAATATGCTAATGCTGAGTTTCACAATTCAAGATTTACTTAAGCACTATTTGCCAAGTTGTTCATATCTCAGCAAGGTTATGTCCCTTAAAAGACAATAAATGCTCATCTGTAAGGTCGGAATGTGGAGGTAACCATGGGGCTTATTCTCTAAACAGTCAGGTAGTTATTAACATGAGATGTGAATGTAAATTGTCAAGGATTCAAAGTAAATCGAAATTGAATTTCAAAATGTAAGCCAAAATAACCAACTAAAAACACTGCTGACTTCTGGAAGAATTCTTCCAATTTCGCTATTTTGTTCTACATTTTGATATTCCCTTTGAGTTCACTTTGAATTCATAACCATTTTCAATTTAGTGTATATATTCCAAGTGAACGTTAGTTAATTCACAGCCACATTGAATAGCATAAAAGTTTTAATTTAGCTTTTTCCTATTCAATATGGCAGTAAATTCTCCACATATCACTGTTTTGTGAATATAACACCGTAAACACGAAGTATAGCACTGCACTGTATTGTCATGGAGAGCAGTCATTTCAAACTGAAGAAACCAGCCATCTCCGAGCATTCTAGGCTGCATTTACATCCAGGAAACTTTCTGAGGAGTAATCGTGGTATTAGGAAACATCACATAACAAGTGGCCTCAGACCAACTTTGTCCTTAATGAATAAGTGCAATTAGGTATTTATAGAATATATGCAAATCATTCATTTGTTTGGCTCTAATGTTTTTTATAGGTGTCAGGAATTTTCTTATAACCATCGGCTTGCTTCACAATATTTTCAAGGTAATTTTGGTAACGAGCACTTGGCACCGCTCATGTAGTACATGCTGGGTGCAGAGTTGGTAATTTCGGTGTCACCTTTGCAACTTGATATGAATAAGTGCAAGTATTAATGCTCCTTTAAGGATTGCGTAACAGAAAAGTGGATAGACATGGCAACATTTCAACCTATATCGTCTTCAGTCAAGGCTAAAATAAAAACCATCTAGGTAGAAAATGGGTAAACTCTTGGTGGTAAAATTGTGAGGAGTAAAATTGACGTTGTTGAGTGCTTTCTACTAATTTTTCTTCAAAATAATTATAGACCTGAGAACGAATAATATAATGGAATTAATTTTCTAGAAGAATAATTTAATATAGCAGGGTTATTCACTTTATTCCAAATTCATGCAAATTAAATCTAAACTGCAAAACTGAGACTAAAATAACCAATCTTTTAAAACCAGCTATTTTAGAGTCAATTTTGACATTCAGATTTATTTTGCTAAAATTTGTAATTTAGTGAATAAACCCAGTAAATATTCCCATGGATCTGTATAAATACCCCCAAACAGTACAGCAAAAGAAAATCTATTTAATTGTTAAAAATACCATTATTAAAGCTTGAGAACTGGGAAACCTAGGTTCAATTCCCATTCACACCACCTTACTAATAATTATCCCTGGGCAAGACACCCACCTACATATATATCTGCCTACCTTAAATCCTCATAAATTGTAAGCTCATCTGAGCAGAGCCCTCTTTACCTCTAAATATCCCCAATCTATTATTATTTATATAGCGCCAACAGATTCCATAGCGCTGTACAATAACTGTAAACTGTATAGCGCTACAAAATATGTTGGAGCTACATAGATCATAATGCCTGTGTGTTTAAAGTGGTTGCCTTTACAATCAACTTGCAAAGTTGAAGCCAAATTAGAAGAATTTAATAATGTGGCTATTTTACCATACAATTCTTTTTAGTTTAACTTTTATAATGTGGTTTTCAGTACAGCACAACTAACTGTTTAGTTAATATATCCATTATCCTCTCCAACCAGTAAACACTTGCAAGGATTTTATCAACCAAGTTTATGTACCATGTGGTATTCCTCAAGAAAATTGTGATTTCTAGTGAAATCTCCATATGACACACATTAATCCAGAGTGTAGCCCCACCAGCTGTTGTACAACTACAATTCCCATGAGGATTTGACAGCCTTCTGTAAATTGTACTCCAGAAATAGCTGGGGACTACATTCTAGCCATGCTTGCTTTTGTTCAATGAGTATAGAATAAAAAAAAACTTTAAAAAAAAAAACAAGAAAAAAAAAAAAAAGCTTACAGACCTCCCCACTTGTTAATCAAACTACAATTCTCACAATCCTTTGCTAGACACTGTATTTGGCTGGCAAGGTTTTACAGGAGTTGTTGTTCACAAGCCAGTTTTAAAATAATCCTTTATCCATTGACTATCCCGTGTTGTAAACGTATTATATATATATATATATATATATATATATAATTATATTATTTATTTAGCGCCAGCAAATTCCGTAGCACTGTACAATGGTGTGTGTATATATATATATATTTATACAAGCTATAACAGGCAGCAGCTAACTATAGCATTTCACCAGTTTTAAGACTGTAATTACCAGGGTGATGAGCCTGATGTGAATTGCAGTCCAACACCTGGAAAATTTCCAAATTTCCCTTACTTAACCAATACATCTTGCAAAACATAAATACGTTGTGCATATGCCAAATGCAGGTAGACTGTAAATCACATCATCCTGGTCATGATGGGAGTACTGCAGAAAGTGTTGTATGAACTATTTTTTTTTTTGTCTCTACAGCAGAATGCAGCTTGTATTTCACAATAGACTGGAATAACCAGTCACATATAGGATTGACAGTTACAGTTGTACGTGTTGCTGCTAGCAGGTCAACCTCTTCCTTTCCCATGCTACTAAAAAGTTAAGTATTATTTTCTCATGTAACTTTAAGTGTAACAATTGTGCAATAATAAAGTTTAAATTCATTAACAAGTCAATTGTAGATAAAAGGTATTTGGCTAGAACGGTTTTCCAGACACAATAATACGGTTACTTGTTTTGAAAATGTAAATAATAGTTTTGCCAATAAAAATACATTCTAAGTAAATAACCAACTCCAGAATCGAAAGAATAATAACTTTAGTGAAATACACATATACATATACACACACACACACACACACACACACACTCTTATTAAAGAAATTGTAGATATAAGGGTTAACACTAATAATAAACTCATACACATGAAATAGTTTAACATGCATGTTTATTGCATTGTAAAAAAAATATAAATTAAAAAAAACAAAAACACATTTCTAAAATTTTCAAATCTTTTTCTTAAATATAATTGAAATTCTGGAATATCCTCCGAAACAAACATAGAAAAATTATACTTTATTACAAATGGTAAACTCAAGAGTGCTCAAGATCTCTTATTTACAGACAATACTAGGTTCATAAACCCAAATAAAAACATATAAAATAAATTACAAAGTTTTGCAGCTGTTTTATCGACATAATCTCAGCTTTCGTAAAATAAAAAACCAAATATGTACACATAACATACATAGTTAAGTAGAAGGCAGGCAGAATAGTCTTGTATTTTGTTTTTCAGTCCCAGACGCCTCCCTCCCCCGCCCATCCCTCGTGTGAACTATAAAAGCAATCTAGTTTGTATCGCTGTTTATCCTTGTATCTTAATACTGAATAATCATCGAATGTTCAGTCCATGCAGGTCTTGGTCAATGTTAAAAACACAGATCTGATATTGTGTTAGAACACGAACAGCACTTAGCAAACACAATTTGCTTGTTCTTTTGACACTGGCAACAACCTGAGGTTTCACCAGACTCTCCGCACAGGCTCATTGAACACAGTCAGGTCTCAATGCCTTTCATTTTCAACCATAAGTTTCAACATGAAACTATTTGATTCTCTCCACGACTCATCCTTGGCTTCTCTCCGACCAAGTCTTCTCAGAATGTTTGCAACTGTTGTGTTAACATTAACTGACAGCCACTGTTGACGTGATTCATGACCTTCTGCTTGAGCTGAGCTACTTGCTCCCGGAGCAGGTTAGCCGTGGATGCAAGTTCAGAGTTCTGAGATTTAAGTGTTTTTACTTTGTCTTCCAATCTAGCAATCCTCTCCAGTTTCCTTTTCCTGCACTTGGAAGCAGCAATTCTGTTCCTCATGCGTTTCCGCTCAGCTTTTATCCTCTCCTGTGACTCCATGTCAATAGGGGACAGTGGTGGAGACTCCCCAGGCATTTCAGGGACAGTCTGTGGCTCTTCCTTGAGAGCTTGCAATCTTGGGTGCTGCACTGAAATTGGTGGGGTGTTGTGATGCTGAGGACCAAAGCTCAAACCATTGCTGTTGAAAGCAGGGGTAGTGGTTGTGGAGGTGACAGCACTTGGAGTGGGGTTAAAATTGTTCAGATTGGCGTAAACTGGTGGTTCACTATGCAATGTGTTGCTGAAGCCAGTGCTACTTGCTATGGAAGAAACAGGTGTCAGTCCAGTACTGACAGGTTGGGGGGCAGAGGTCACATTTGGTAAAGTGTTCTGATTGTGCAACTCTGCAAGTGCTCGAACAAAACCCTCTGCAAAGCCCTCCTGCTCATCTGTAACATTTTTGGGACACAGGAACTGTGTTGGTGTCGGCGTGGTGGTGATCATGCCATTGCTGGACTGAATAATAAGCCTTTCAAGTTCAGGAGAGGCAAGTTTAAGAAGTCCAACATCTGGGGAGGTGAGAAGATCGGCAGCCTTGTTGCGCAGGTGAGGTTTGATGGAGCTGGTGGGGTCAGATAGGTTCAGAGTCATACTTTGCTTTAACACTTTGGAGTTGTATCCATAGCCAGCAGCTTCAGGCTGGGCAAAAGCAGCGCTCAGTGCATCGTCATAAAATGTAGTTTCCATCCTTGTATTCATAGAACGGACACCAACTTAAAGGGGAAAAGCTGCTCCTTCCAGCAGCAGCAGCAGCTCAGGGTCACAAAATAATTCTGCAATGAGATAGAAACAGGTTATTGAGGGATCAAGTAAACGTCACCAATCCAATACACTTTCAATCATTCCAAAACACTTCTTTATTAATCCAGTAAACTTCTATAGTCTATATACCTAACTATTCAAATCTATACCATAACCTTCTCCGGTTGACTGTTCACTTCTACATCCATCCTTCATCACTTGTCAACTTTTTCGTCCACCCATTCTCCATCTACTCCCTCCTTCTGTTGATCCTTCACGTCTTCATATACCCCTCGCCTGCTTTTTTTTTTTTTAAATTACAATCCGCCTCTGCCTACTTCTCTACACTTGTCAAACTAGTTCTAACTTTCTATTCTGTCAACTTGTTTTCTTATTTATTTACCCTCTCTCCACCCAATACTCCACACTTTTTTCTTCTTTTTATTTTAACCCTTTCCTCACTCCTACATGTATCCTTCTCCATTCCTCTTAATTTACCCAATTCTCCACATGTTCCCCTGTAGACATTTCTTCTTGAATGTCTCTCTTATTGCAGTTTAATTTACCCCTGCCCCTCTGTCTGTGATCACTTTGCCCCTCTGTCTGTGATCACTTTGCCCCTCTGATCACTTTGCCCCTCTGTCTGTGATAACTTTGCCCCACTGTCTGTGATCACTTTGCCCCACTGTCTGATCACTTTGCCCCTCTGATCACTTTGCCCCTCTGTCTGTGATCACTTTGCCCCTCTGTCTGTGATCACTTTGCCCCACTGTCTGTGATCACTTTGCCCCACTGTCTGATCACTTTGCCCCACTGTCTGATCACTTTGCCCCTCTGTCTGTGATCACTTTGCCCCACTGTCTGATCACTTTGCCTCTCTTTCTAGCAGTTGTCACACTCTTTCCATGTTGTATTTGCCCCCATGGTCTCACTTACCCCCTGGCTGTGGTTGTTGTGGTGGTGGTTCCCTGTGGGCACTGCTTGCCACCCTCCCTGTGCAGTGAGGCAGTGCTGAGTGCAGTCCCAGCTAGCCAGTCCCTCACTCACTCTCTCAGTCAGTCCCAGTGTGAGCCCGGACAGCGTGCACCTCACACTTATCAGAGAGAGCTCACCCACTAAAAATAGACATGATGTCACCCCCGCGGCTCCCCATTGGCTGGAGCCTCCGGTGGGCGGGTTCCTGCTTTGCATATGAGCCTCGGTCGCCATGGATACATCACTAGAAGATTCTAACTGTCGCATAGGCCGATGGGATGAGGTAATGCTGGTCACCCCGGCGGGCGCGGTGCATTGTGGGCTGACGTAGTGCTGTCAGGGGGTGTTGCTCTCCGGGACGGGAGGATGAGGTGAGTTCCCGCCACCTGGGACCCCATCAAGGGAACGAATTAATTATTATTATTATTATTATTGCCCTCCCCCCTTACTAGGACAGTGATGGCCCACTGTGTGACGTCATCAGGGCAGGACCCAATCACCCTCAGCCAGCCGCAGGCTAGGAGAGGGTAGCTTGGCACCGCTGGGAGGCCACAGGTCGCCCCTGGAGACTCCTGTGGTACCCTGCAGCAAGGAACAGGCGGCCTCCAGCAGGCCAGATGTTGTGGACTACACCTCCCATGATGCTTTGCCAGTTTATGGCTGTAAGAGCATTATGGGAGATGTAGTCCACACTGTGGGGGAGTGCTGAAGGTTGTCCTTCCCCCTTGCTATAGGGAGAGGAGAGTCACCAAACTGTCTCACACGCTGCAGCTGCTGCAGAACCTCTCTGCTACAGCTTGTTCTGACATTTTTGGGCCTGTCACTCACAGGGTGACACTTCCTGTCATGCTCAGCCATCCTGTGGAAGTGTAGGTCCCAAGACAGAAGAGGGCCAGAATTTGTAGACATAGCTGAAGTATTTTTATTTTATTTTCTTTATTTGTTTTTGTATTTGCAAGAAGGCACTTTTCATTCTTGTATCCTTAGCTGATGCAGAACCTCTTTGCAAGGAGGTACACCTGTGCACCTTCACTTATCCATATCTGATGGAGAACCTCTTTGCATGAAGGTAGGTAGTGCATCCGTTTGACCCAGCTAATTAAGAATTTCTTTCTAAGAAGTATATCTTCAGTAAGAAATCAGCTGACGCAGAACCTCTTTACAAGAAGGTACTTCAGTGGAACTCCAGCTAATGAAGATTTATTTTAAGAAGGGGACCTTAGCTGATGAAGAACCTCTTTACAAGAAGGTCCTCCTTCAGTTAGAGCTAACTAATGAAGGATTTATTTCTAAGTATATCTTCAGTGGGACATCAGCTGATGCAGAGCCTCTTTCCAAGAAGGCATTTTTTTTCAGTGTGACCCAAGCTAAATTAAGAATCTTTTTTTTTTTTTTTTTTTTTTAAAGAGGGACACCTCAGCTGATGAAACTCTTTTGTAAGAAAGTATGCTTTCAGTGGGACCGTAGCTGATGCAGAACATCTTAGCGGAGTTTCACTTTCATTGTTTCCTCAGCTGATGTATAACATCTTGCAAGGATGTACATCTTCAGTGAAACTTCAGTTGATACAGAACCTCTTTGCAGGAAGGTACATATTCGGGGAAATTCCAGCTGAAGTAGAAACTATGAAAGAAGGTACAACTTCAGCGTGGCCTGGCTGATGATGATCCTCATTAGAAGAACGTGCACCTTACACACTTATGGGGAGGCAGATGGTGTATTTTCCTTACTACCAAAACCTAGGCAATGTACTGATCACAGACCAGGAACCATGATTCTCCCTATTATATTTTCCCTGCAAGCCAATCTGGTTTCTTTGTGATTATGTAGCTCCCCTCTTTATCACTGACAGGGTTAAAAACCAAGTCAAATATATATCACATGCTTGTGGCACAGAAGGAATTAAGTAGAAATATAGTGCAAATCAAACGCCCCTGGCACTTTAGTGGTAAGGATAACCCACTGAGAGTTAAAACTCAACCTGTTTACTTGTATCTCTTTTGGAGCTTTGAGTTTGAGACACCCAGAAGGGATGGGGTAGAGAGTGGCATGTTCTCGGAGCACATCTAGCTGGGTAATGCTGATGGCACAGTAACAGGTTAAATAGTATTCAGTATATTGAAAACAGGCCATAATGGGTGGAGTGGACACTTTGCACGCTGAAAGGCAAGGGAAGATTAAGATCATTTTTAGAGCTTTTTTTTACTCTCCCACATAGATTTAGCTCCAAGTGCTTACCAATATAGTTTGCTGTATAAAGCTAAAGATAGCAGGGCAAATCTGAGGAAGAGCGTGCATATAAAATTACCAAAACAGAAAATCAGGAAGAGGGACCAGTATGGTGAGACTGGGTAGCAGTTTTTGTGGGGTTAAAGAAGTAGGCGGTACAAGGAAACCCCTTTGAACCTTTTTTGTGTGTGTAAAGTGTAACTGATCAAGTAGGAAGCAGACCAAGAATTGTGCTCTCTGTAAAATAGAATTTGGAGTAACTCCCATGATTCTTCACCAGCCACGAAGCAAAACGTGACAGCGAGTTTTCCTTCTCTATAGCTGCTGGTGATCTGTCCACTCTGGCTATTGCAGGGTTAATTCTTTTAAGCCACATCAGACACAAGAGTTCATTGTAATGTTAAAGGAAGAATTTGGGTTAAGGTGGGACAGGCATAATAACTTTATAAAACAGTGTTGCAAATTCAACAGTTGTATTTGCCACCTCTCATTAAACACAGTATTTAACTCATGCAATGTTATAACAGTATTTTTTTTATTTACTTATGAGAACTGGAGAGAATATCAAAATTCATTAGAAGATGTCTTGAGATTTTCAAACTATAATAATAAAATACACTGAGTTCTGTAATGTGGTGTGTGTGTTTTTTTGTTTTTTGTTTTTCTTCCATTGACTATGGCTTGTGCTTAATTACCTAAGGAACAGGATTTTCGAAAATGCCCTTGTCGTGTCATACATTGTTTAAATACATAAATAAAGATGTGATTGAAAATTAAGGGGTTAATTTCACTGTCTATTTCTCTGTGTTGGAAAAGTTGCTGTTTGTGAATATGTACTATGTGTGCAACTTAACTAATGACTGCTGGTATCTGTGCTGTAGAACAAGGCTTGAGTAAGGCAGGGAATGAGTTAACTAAATAGGCTGGGAACTTGATCTTGTTGTGTTGTATTAGAGGGAGTGCACTTACTTTCTTGTGACTGACATGTATTGTGTCCAGTCCTGGGAGAAACTGAGATAATGACCATATTTTGTGTGTGGGCTGCTGTCAGCTCCTCCCCCCATGGCCCTGCCTGGGTTTATCAAGTCCCCTTTAGTCCAGTTACAGGAAGGACGTTAACTTCTTCATTGCCAGCCTTGTGGAACAATATATGGGAAATTACACTCTAACCTCACAACATGAATTTATATTCATCCATTATTCTTACAGGCAAAACATGTGACTTTAAAATACCTTGAATCTATGATTATACTAGTGTTGTGGATTTTATAGGGGAATTTTGTATCTCTTAGGTTAAATATTTTTTTATTAGGGGTTGCTTTGAAAATTAATATTAGAACTTTGTAATATTACACCGGCCTTAACGCAACCTATTTTAATGCTTAGCATATTTTAAATTGTATTATTTTCATGGCTCAATAATGCATTCTAGATGCACCAAAGATGCATGACCCCTTTAGATGATCTCATACCGATTAATTCAGTTCGAAATGTGATGGTATGTATGTCTGGTTTGTAAATCGCTGACCTGATTTACATGTCAAAGCAAATATAAGTGTTGTATGAATTTATAGCCTTTGTGACTGCCAGCATTTTGTTGAAGCTCTCTTAATATGTTATCAGCTAAATGCGTCTGTACTTTGGAAGCATAACGTCTTTCCTCTTGCAATCTTAAATTAACATGGCACCAGCTTTATATCCAGACCAATCTGCATACTTCCTACTGCTTCATTTTCACATGATGCTCACTTGTGTTGAGCAGTAATTAATAGGGAACTCTCAAGTAGTTTAATATCTTTTAAAATACTTTTGATTTGCTTCTTTGAGCAGATTGCCATGGCAAGAAATGGAAGAATTGAAAACCACTATGCTACAGGGTGATACGCCTTTGACAGAGTTAACCATGATAGAGACAGAGGTAAAGGACTGATTAATAAGCCAGTCTCTTGCAGACATCCTCTGTTTAAAGGAACAGTCTAAGCACTATAACATGCTGTAGTTATTATAATTCAAAGAACCCCCTGGTGCACTTTCAGAGTAATATTTCAAACAGTTTTAGTTTGGTTTGATATTTTACCTGGGTCTTGCTGGGCACCTGTGTCAATGACTGTGCTAGTGCACAAGCATCCAGCTTTAAGAATACTTGAAGTTGTTTTGGTGCTCAGGGCCCCCCAGGTATGTGTGTGACTGTGCTAAAAAAAGTTTAATAGATTATTCTAGGGCAGCACCAGGGCACTCATGACACTACAAACAACTGTAGTAATGTTGTTTGTAGTGTTTCTTTAAGTGTTTCTACCTATTGACTGATGAACAAATATCTAAATGGGTTTAATACACGAGACAAAAGGTAGTTTTGGGCACCTTTTTATTTTCGTATTGTGAGTTTTCATACGATGCGAATAACACCAGATACAGCAAGCAGGGGTGAGATAGAGAGAGAGATATGTGATCTTAAAAATTAGAACTTTTGCGCTGCCTGCAAAAAAAGATAATTTTTCTATTTTGACATAACCTGTTTTTGGGGAGGGGAATTTTTATTTATATGTGCCCTAATGTTTGTTTCTAAATCTTTATGTTTATCTCTCTATCCTATGATAATCAAATACAAATAAATATCTCTTCTGACTGTGTGTGGATGCTGAACAGTGAAAATAAGTTTGAAATAATGTCTGAGGCATGCTAGAGACAAGGACATGCCTGTCTGGGGTCTAAAATCCTCTCGGATCTCTTTTTACTAGTAATATCTGCCAAAAGTTGCATTTCACTTTCATCGTAATAAATGTATTGAGCTGCTTCGTGTTGTGATCAAGTTTCCTCCCATTGCTCACGTCTCCGCTAATCTCTAGCCCGATAAGTCGATGTGGTTCCACCAGTTATTTAATGAAATGTCACTGTCACGTCTCCCCACGCCTGGCATTTTGATCACCCACATCTCTGTTACTGAAAGGATGGGCAGCCAAGAACTGGGGAATGATTTTGCAGGATATAGAGGGAGGATCTGTGTACAGCGGAAGGTGGGGGAGTATTGAAGGGGGTAGGGCTGGGTCAGTTCCAAAAGGCAAAGAGCGCATGATTCAGCTGTGGTTAGTCTCATAGCTGTAATTCAGTCAGTGGCAGAGGTGTGTATCTCAAGCTCCACACACTGATATACTGGTGATTTTTATCCTGTGCAGTTGCTTCTGTCTGCACAAGCATAAAAGTTAGACCCACCCAGCTGTTGTGATACACGCTTTACCTTCCTGAAAAGACCACTTAATGCAGCCAGACCACTTCATCTCAATGACAAAGTCCAAGTGCACTGTTCCTTTTGTTTTTAACCCTGCAATTTAGTAATATGTCAATGTTATGATTGCAGGGTTAACACACCTTTAGTGACTGTATTCCTGACAACCACTAGAGGCACTTCCCTGTGATAACAGTCAGACCCTGTTCGCAATCAAATGCCGCTCATAGAGCCAGAGAACTGCTGCACATGCACAGTTACCTCCCAATGCTTCCCTATGGAAGATTGATGACATGAGTTAGGGAGACAGTGCAGGCACAGCAAAGCCCTTATTTGAGGGGCAGACACCGCTAGAGGTAGTGTAAAACTAACTACTACTAACGTTAGGGACCCATGTTTATATTCCGCAAAAGTGTTTCAGTTCTACAGCAGCTGTAGGTCTGCCTTCTGACCAGCCCAGTATCTTTTAGAATTCATGAGCACCTTCATTTTTAAACTTGAATGGGAAAACAGTGGGTTGAGGAAAATAGTGCAAACTTTAGTTAATGGTTAAAAAGATCTTTATTCAGTAGTTACTTGGCAAACATTAAATAAAACAGATAACAGTATCTAGATGAGACAGGTAAAAATGCAAAAGCAAGATCTTACCTTGTTTCTGCTGCTTGTTGTTTTTCATTAGTCCTGGGTTTTTTTTTTGTTTGTTTTTTTTCAGGAAAGTACAATGAGGTCATTAAGAGTTTTTCATAAAGTTTATATACAAATAAGGCACAGTGATCCTTTTAAAGTGGAATTGTCACATGACAATGGCCCCTAGTACTATAGTAATGTGCCAGCGGAGAACAGAATGACTGGTCCAATTTCAAGAAAATTGGTATTGGGTTTTTGTTTTTACCATAATGGATTTCATAATCAAAGTTTTGGTTTATATTTGTTATGTCACCTTATTACCAGAAGGGACTATTTTTATCATTAAACATTAATAACTACACAGAATCAATTGTCTTATTGTAAAACTATTTTTTAGTTGGATTGACAAAAACAGATGGATTCCCCAGCACCCAAAGGCCACACCTTTGAGGTGTCATAATGAAAATATCTCACGTCTTCTTCATTGCCTATTCAAGTAATTTTATAACATGGTCATTGATCCAGGGGAGCTAAAATGAGTGTGGTGATTTGGTATACTTGAATACACTAAGTGCATGTTGTGAGTACCGATGGCTTCCTGGAACCATAACCACTACAATAAATTTACTCTGAGTACGTTGACCCTACTACTGCTTGCTGTTGGAGTTATAGTGCAAGGAGTACCTTGCCACCAGTGAATGGTTTGGCTCATTGGCTGAGACTAATCATTTCTGTTTAAGAGCTTCTTGCTGTCCGCCGTCAGCAGTGGAGGAGTGGACTTGCACCCCACGGAGCCTGAAAATAAAATCAAAAACAACTTCTACAAAATTCTAAATTAAACGGTTTGAGGGAAAAAAAAAATCAAATGATTCTAAAATAGATTGACTCTTTACATGGGGGGTACCAGGGCATTCCTGGCACCATAATCACTACAGTGAACTGCAGTTGTTAAGGTAATTGGAGTATTCCTTTTAAGTCATACAACTGGGGTGGTAAATTATCACTGTGATATTAAAACCAGAAAGATACACCAGAAAACAGTAAAAAGCTAAATAGTCTATATACATTTCTTCAAAAATAACATGGATTCATTATGCACACAATACATGCAGGCTGCACACACCACACGTTATGTACAGGCTCCACAGACACTATATACAGGCAGCACACACGTTTACAAAAGAAGAGACTACAATCCGAGTAATTCACAAAGCTTGGAATTTTCCAAATGGCAACATTGAAGCGAAAATGTTCTAACTATTGCAAAGTTACAGAATATTTCCAGATCAGCAATTTTTGCATCCATTTTTTTTCCATTCAAATTTAATTTGTGAAAATGAGTTTAGCAAATAGTCCTGTCAATATCCATGACTTCTGTCAAGGTCCCCCAATATTTGTAATTGATATTTTGTGTCAGAACAAGTAGGAAAAAAAAGAAATCCACATCCCTGGTGTCATTTGGCTGTTTTAAATGTTGACTATCCTATGTTAAGATGAAATATTTTACGTTACTGTAGCACTTTAAACCCGACTCTATCCTCTTATTTCCTTTTAGCAATACAGTTTTCCACTTTCGTCAGAGTGCATGCTGGGACAGAACTCTGAGCCAGATGGGGAACAGTGCTGTGTACACTTACACTCACAGCATAGCGCTTGCTAGCTCAGGTAGTGACCTCCACACTATAAATGCTACAGGTGACTAAGAAAGCTGTACTTCTCTAAAATGAATATTAATCGGGAAGGGTATGCTTGTTGTGGTGCCTGGAATGTCCCTTTAAGAGATTTGTTTGTATTTGTCAGCTGACCCTTAGGGAATCTCCATTTAAAAAAAGAAAACCAATTTCCACAACAATGTCATTGTCTATTTATTTAAG